ACAATAAGTCTTACTCTATTTACTGTTTCTTTTTTGGAGAGGGCGTAATATTCTCTAAAATTTTAGTGCGTCCACTTAATAAACCACTTAGCCATAATCTAACAACTTGGACCTAATCTAGCTTTATTACATAATATAATCTGATATTATTGGTTCCCTGTGAATAAATGCACTGTAATGAAGTAATGCTTCTGTACATGTTTCACATCAAACTTACCAGACGATTTTCTAGCTCGCTTGGCTTTTTCTCGTCACCATTAGTCGTTGGCTGCTTCATCTCAACGTCGTCCTGTCGTATGGAATCAACTTTAACACAAACAAAGCGTGCCAACCAATCAACGAATAACTTCCGAACCCAACTAGGAACTTCACAGACACCGTAATAGATGGCATACACCAGTGCCGTCTCCCCGATTACCAATACTGTCAAAACCAAACTAAATAGAAGGAAGTCACCAAGTATTGTGGGTAAACCGATGTGTGTGTAATGCATATAATTTAACAGTAACACGCCAATCATTATGGCTACTGTTAATGTCATCTTCTCACGGCAGACAGGAGGTAGTGCGAACACGAACACGAGGCAGACAGATAACAACACAGAGGGCGCCAGGAGAGATGACACAAATGTGCGATAAACAGATGATCTCCTTGTAATGGTTAATGAAAAAGTAGCATCAACAAATATTTCTTCACAACATGGATATTTGACAGCGTTTCTGACACCTTCATATTCAACTAATTCCCAGATTGCATTTTGCCAAATATCGATTCAATATCGATTTGGATCTCTCCTAGATCAACAGCAGTACCGTCATAAGCCCATGAGCCATACTTAATTGTGATTTTATGTGTGTCGTAGGGGAACCAAAACGCACTGCCGAAGTTACACATTACTTTCTCTTCATACGGCGGTAAATAAAATATCATTCCATCTGGGTATAATATACCCATGGCTTTGTGGGTTTGTGTCTGTTTGCTGTAAACATAGTAAGAAATGTTATAAGAAAAAAACATTCAAAAGCTTCTTATTATAACAGTGGTGAAAATACTTTCTATATTCGTGCTCTTGAACTTGAGTATCACCTTGGGGTCCATTTATGGAATTCATTTGTTTGTATTGTGTTTAATTTCATGGACTTTTATTTTGCAAATACAACGTTTAGTTATTTGAACCACTTTTTGGTATGTTATCCCCCCCCCCCCCCTTATCACTGATGAGTTTCTTCATTAAACACAATGCCAGAAGATGTTTCAGTAGTTGTTTGGACTTGAATCTATATATATCTTCAGACAAAGTTGCTCTTATGATAATTTGAATATTAGATTATTTGATATATATATATGTGTGAATATCAGGTGATATCTTATGAAAATTTGTGACAAATTTGGCCCATTTAGCCTACTTAAAATAAACTCTTAAAAGTAAATATAATTTCATAGACTGAACATTATGAAATTCATTTTTTTGTATTGTGTTTAATTTCATGGACTTTTATTTTGCAAATACAACGTTTAGTTATTTGAACTACTTTTTGGTATGTTATCCCCCCCCCCGTCATTTTTTAATAGCAGGTTTATTATACCATTATACTATATGTTAAAATAGATACTTCAGATAACTCACAAAATTTGTTTCACTTTTTCTCTCATGAATCTAGCAATTCCTTCATGTACATGTGTTCTATAAGGAAGTTGTCGTTATTACATATATACATATAACAACGTGTTATAGACATACAATGGTTTGTTTTGGTGTATTGAACAGTGACATGTTCCCAAAATGGAAACAGCTTGTTATTTCTATATTTTACAGAAAACTCACCCGTTATATAGAACAATGTCCGGAACCCATATGTCATCCATATTGATACGTAATATATCTATCCCTGGATATTGCTCTCGATTCCATTCAAGTCTTGGGTCAATCCAACTCTAAAAATAGCAGAGAAGGACCAACAAAATAATTTACTGAAAATATTCTCAGGATGTTTCGTACAACTTTGCGAACTGGGTGAAGGCAATTCCGTTCAAATTAGCAACCGTGTGTGTTTTGTCAGTCGCTCGTCATCTAGAATATAGTACAATATCTCAAAACTACAGATCAAAACGATATCAACACCTTAAACTGCCTTTAGATTCGCGATTAGCAGGAAATGGGTATTCAGTTTTAAGTAAATATATTGCATGTAATGAAGGCGAGATTAATGTGTTGGTTAGCCTATTTTACTGACAGACAATTGAGTTTTGGCTAATTCGTTAATGCATGAAGCTATTATTCGAGGAAACACAACCCAATACATCGTCACTAGAACTTTGTTGAAAAATGTTTCTCACACAATGATTCTTACCAACTTTCTACAAACAGATAACAATGCTTTGTTGTTCTTTATGTCCTATAATAAAATTAAAGAATGTTTAGAGTTCAGTTGTTTAGTTTAGTCTGGGGGTGTTGAAGACATGTAGAAAATATTAGAGATATATAGATAGACAGCCACACACACACACACACACACACACACACACACACACACACACACACACACACACACTGGTGTAACCTTAGTTGTGAAGCCACACACTTTAATATAGTTGAATTAACTTTTAATATAGTTGCAATATGAACTCAATTAAAACGCGTTTCTATATATATTTGCGTTTTAATTGGAGTTTAATTAAACTCAATTACAATGCAATACAATGTAGAATTGCGTTTTAATTAAGTTCAATTAAACAAAACTTCAATATCCCGTGACTGAACATGAAAATATTCGCAAAGCTTAGGTTTAGTTTCGGGGGGGGGGGGGGAGGTATTGTACAATTATATTAATATTAATATAAACTGAATCATACCTTCCCCAGATACTAAACTTAAGCTACGCAAAACGTATTAATAATCGAATTAACTATTAATATAAATTATGTTTTCCGAGGACTATGAAAATGGTCCTCGGAAAGTGTGTATGTCCACAGAAGTTGGTATATATGTGTATTTTGGACCTCGGAACATATAGCAATGCAACTACACACACACGCACCCCCCATACACACCCACACCCACACCCACACACACGCACCCCCCCCCCACACACACAGAAAGACAAACAGACAAGTAGGCAGTCATGTAACAACATATAGAAACAAATTAAACATACCACATTCACGATAGATGATACCGCAATTGAAAATGATATTACGGGTACCTCTGATGTTGCATTTTTTCTTTGGAACGACTCGTTTGTCATATGATTGAAACAAATTATCAAAAAGTTCTGTTTCCTGGTAACTGCCTACGAAAAAAGTAGTTAACTAGTTATTAGCTGTGTTTTTCAACATTTTCTTCATATTTTGTGATTATGTGAATACTGAACCAACGAGAGGAAACACTTGATGATAATCAATATAGTATTATTGTGAAAGCAACTTCAGTATTGAACATTATAATTGAAAAAAGAAAAGTCTATGTACATTACAACACGAGGAATAAATTTATATCAATCTGAGAAACTAATTGGTTCGATTATTATGCAAAGCTATTTAGATATTTAATATGCACTGAAATATGTATAGCTGAAGAAATAGTCATTCAAACATATATTTTCCAGCTGTCTCGGTGCTGTTCTCATACTAGTATGAAGTGCTAAATTTGTATTCAGACCTCAGAAGTTTAAAGTAAAGAAAATGTCTCGCAAAGCTTTGGAGGGAACGCAAATTTTCGCTGTTGTTGATTTGTGCAAAGCGGACTATGTGAAAAAGAACATTGTGTTAGAAGCGTATAATCGCGGTGACAAGCCAGTATTCAAAAACGGAACTTTATATATTAATGATAGGGAATATAAAAGTTAAAACATAGTTTTTTTTTGTCCTTTGTAATTATTATCATATTGTGAGTTGTTTCTTGAGTATGCAGTCCCAAATATATGGAAAGCCGTACGGGACCCTGCTGCGTCGATATAAATTGCATGGTAAAACATATAGCTTCAAAATTATGCTGCTTCTTCATCAAAAGTGCGATTTCCGATGTCTACGTTTACCAATTGTAGTAGTAGCAATCAGCACAAAACTTATTCACAGTCGTTGCTAATTAATTAGTAGTTGTCGCAAAGCGAGTTGTAGTAGTCGCGATTTAACGGGTGATGATTTGTAGAAGTCACTAACCCACTACAGCGTATTTGTCGTTGATGCGGTTCCTTAATTTATAGATGACGACATTTCATTTTCCAAGTAGTCGAAGCAAACAAGTCCCCCTAGTAGACGATGCAACTTGCACTTTTTTCAAGTTGTCGACGCAAAACGAGTCCCCCTAGTAGACTTTGCATTTTTCATTCCAAGTTGACGCAGACACACTTTTTCTAGTAGACGACGACGCATATAGCATTCTCAAGTTGACGCAGACGCATTTTTTTCTAGTAGACGACGACGCACATTGCATTTCACGCACACGATGACAAACCCGGAAGTGAGAATACTGACAGCGCTAAAACAACGTGCAAAAGCTGTCGTTTTGTTTGTGATGTAAGCGGATGAGAGTTTTAATTTGAAATGTCAAGTTTTGTAAATTCAATACAATGTTGTGCATTTCATTTATTAAAAATTATATTTACTACTCATCAGTAGGGTAAAACTAACCTGTCTCACGACGGTCTAATTCCAGCTCACGTTCCCTGTTATATTATATTTACTACAACAAACGTATTGTTTTTGATTCAAAATAATGTTTTTATTTACTAGTAATTAAGAAAATACTTGGTGCGGCGATATTTTTAATATTGTACTATCCGTTGAATCGCAAATGTCAAAATGGCCTGAAATGCATAACACGTGTTTGCTCTTCAGACTTCATAGTATTCGGAACATGGCAGAAAAATACAGATCAACCAGAGGTTCAAAGTCGCCACTTATCCCCCCCCCCAGGAATCCTGGGGATCAAACAACGGTCCGGTGTCATGATATGTAATCACAAAGCATGTTAATTATAACATATGGCAATTGACCCTGTACAAACAGGAAGTTCTGGTTATGCAACCTTGTTTACTTATAGTTCTTTGGGGTTGAATAAATCAGTTCTTTGTACTAGTAGCTAGAGACAGTGTTTTTGTCAATTACTAAACATAACATCCGGGATCGTTAATTTTTAGAGGAAACATTTTTTTACTGCTTAAAATGGTGAGTTTTTACTTACTCACTTTTTGGGCCTATTGAAAAAGTTTATCGCTACCGGTATTTGTGTTGTCTTTTTCTTATAGCTTAAGTGGTTGGCAATTTTAAATCATAGGTGGTGGCTGGACAATTTCTTGAAACAAATAATTTGCAAGTTAGACACAGGGAAAGAAAATGCATAAAAGAAGGAAATTCAAGATAAATAAAAACGTACATATAAGACAATATAAAAATAGTATTGCATTGGTCACACGCTTCCATCTCCCTATATTTTAAATGCTCAACCCCTTATGTTGTGCTATTTAATATACACCGGAGATGAAAACTGATATAGTATACTTGCTATAGTTTTCAGCTCACCTGGGTCTGACTATTCTATTTATTCATTTTTGTAATGTCTATCAAACGATATTATTGAGTCTAGCGGGCTATTTTATTATGGTGAATCCACATGAAAAAATGCACAATGATCTCTTAACTATGTATATTAACTACCCTGCCATCGGCAGTTCCTGGCCGCTAGTACGACGTCAAACTACTAGGATCTGAACAAATTAAACTAATAGTGAACATTTTATGTCTGTTTATATGGCGAACATGAAATACACACATGTTCCAACCCGAAAAAAAAAAAATTGAAAAACCCAGCCCACGTTAATAGTAGCGCCCCATTACCGTATTTCTGGATCCGCCAGTGTATGTAAGTGATTTCAAATTGTAGTGCAGCTAATATTCACAAACATTTCTTTTTTATGGCATTTACTATTGGTAACTTTTCATTATAATTGAGAAGATAATTATGATAGAAACTTGAGCCTAACTAGTTATAGCGAAACCTTTAGGCAGTTTCAAGGCATAACGTGTGATCAAGGAGGTATGTTCAACTTATAAAACACCTATCTTACGTGGTTACTCAGGAATATTTTTGCAGATTCTTATTCCTCAAGTCAAATTTCTTTGATTTATGAACAAATATACGAGTTAGAGATCCATATACAAATTCAACCTCCAATAGTCCTATATCAAGATTGTTTCATTGGGGCGGTTGCTACTATACACAGGTTTCATTTTATATATATATATATTATTTCTGACTTGGTTTTTCTTAAAAGTGAAGTTAAGTTTTTAACTTAAATGTTGCGTTGGTGTCAATTTGAAAATACACTGTGCGTTGTCGTTTACCAGGAAAACGCGTTTGCGTCAACTTAAAAATGCAATGTGCGTCGTCAGGCTACTTGGAAGTGCGTCTGCGTCAACTTGAGAATGCTATACGCGTCGTCTACTAGAACAAATGTGGATGCGTCAACTTGAAATGAAAAATGCAAAGTCTACTAGGGGGACTCGCTTTGCGCCGACAACTTGAAAAGTGCAAGTTGTGTCGTCTACTAGGGGACTCGTTCGCTTCGTCAACTTGGAAAATGAAATGTCGTCATCTAGAAATTAAGGAACCACGTCTGCAATAAATACGCTGTGGTGTGATAGTGACTTCTACATATCATCACCCGTTAAATGGCGACTACTACAACTCGCTTTGCGACAACTTCTAATTAATTAGCGACGACTG